GGCGGCATCGGCTGCTTGAAGTACGCCACATCGGTGCTTGTGTCATCACAGTGACACATCTTTGGACTCACGTTCATGGTCCAAGTTCCAGAGCACCAAGCGATTTGATGGACCGGCGTCACCATGAACTCCAAAGTTCTGGTGTGGAGGCAAGATAGAATAGTCCGGCCGAATCTTCTGAGGTGTTCCTCTCGATCTCCCTTCGACTGGCGCTTGTCCACACGGAGAAACGCCACCTTCATGGCCAGCGTCTCGCTCAGGGGGGGTTGCGGTTTGTACCGCCATGTATCACGTTTCACCACCCGACTTGGTTGAACAGTGCAGACGGCGGGACCTTTCCGCAGCGCTTGCGCTGCCTTGCGGCTGATCACGGTGAAGGACAACTTTCCTTCACTTCTTCTCCGTCTGCCAACCAAACCGGAAAGCAGTTGCTTGGTCGTTCGAAAGGTTCAAGGCAGCCGATGCTGAACAAACGCTCCACGCGGTCCCTGCATAGACCGGGATGAAAGGTGTTGAGGGTGTCGTCGCTAATCTCACCAAGGTAAATGATCTCATCGGAAAACTCATCGGAAATCCTCTGGTCTGCACGCCGATTGTCTTGTTGGAGTCAGACAACACGATTGTCTTGTTGGAGTCAGACAACTGTGACAACTCTTCAGGCACCACCGTATTGGAGGAGCGGCCAGAGAAAGCGCAAATCACAGAAGCAAACAATTGCGGAGACATGTCATGTAAGGAGACAAGTGGGGAGACAAGAAAGCAATGGCAACGGCAACGGTTGACCAAAACGCAAATCAGCCACCCAGCCATTGAGAAGTAAGAGCCCCTAAAGCTTTCAGCTATCTGCGGAATGAACATGGACTTCAAGGCAGCGAAAAAAACTGCATGTCTTTTAAAGTTCGTTTCAGAGGGCTTGTCAGGATCTCATGACAAGATGCAAGTTGGAAGACAAAAGCGGAGAGAAGTGAGGAGACAAGGGTGGAAAAACGTCTCGTGACAGGATGTGAGTTGGGGAGGCAAGAGGGAGAGAAGTGGGGAGAGAAGGAAGAAACTATCTCGTGATGGGAGACAAGAAAGGAGACAAGTGCGGAGACAAGGGCGAACCGGCTTGCGACTGAGCATGCTGGCAAAAGTGTGATTGAATTGCGTGTGCGCAAGTACGCGCTGCATGGCCAGTGCACTGGCCTCAGGCGATTCTTTGCTTGTTGCGGAGCCAAATTATTCAGGCTTTTCTCTTTTACTTCAGTTTTCTGGCTGCCAAAAAAAACGTGCATGATCCTTCAAACGAATGAATTCATTCCTTGAAGTAGTGGAATAAAGATGAATAAGGTTCTCCCCATTCATTTGGTAACTGTTGACTGAGGCAAGACGAACAGGGCGGAATATGCACAATTCTGTACGCAGCACAGAAAAGACAAAGATGTGCTACCTCCAACATCCTCCAACCCTTGCACCACACACCAAAACACAGCTCTTCAACCTGTGGTTTTACCACGGGAAACGCTTGCTTGCGGAGCTAGTTTGCATTTGTACACATTTGTTCACTTCACTTCACTATCTTCACTTTTTGTTGGACACGCGTCCAATCAGACCTTTTTACCTTTTGGATCTCAAGACCTCCCTGGCTCTTATGATGTCGACCGCTTGACCTTTAGACCTCTAGATCTTTGCTAGAGCTGGAGACTTCTATGTCTCGGCCTTTGGAACTAGAATTTACACAGATGTAGAGAAGCAAATCTCTCTCGCAAGATCTCACCTCTGGATCTCAAGACCTCTGGATCTCAAGACCTCTGGACCTCTAGATCTCCTAGATTGAGAGGCTTCACATCTTCGGATCTCAAGAGCTCTATTTCTAGATCTCCAGATCTACTCCTCCAGACCTTTGGATCTCTGTGGATCTCTAGGCGTTTAGATCTTGCTAGATCGTTTTGGTTCTCAAGACCTAAATGGATCTCAAGACCTCTGGGTCTGGGAGCCAATACTTCTAGATCTCTAGACCTTCTGCTTCTACACCTCTGGACCAGACGAACAGTTTTGGATCATTTTCTTGGAGTTTCCGCTGTCTCCCCGAGCGGACCAGAAACGTCATTCTTTCCGGCTGCTCCGGCTTAGCTAGCAGGTGAGCCGGCTCTCCATTTTAGTGTGCACCGTATTCTCTTCAGTTCGGTGTGAGGCCCAGCAGCACAAAGCACAAAACAACAAGACACAGACTTACTGTATGTATTGATCCTCAACGTGTCAATGAGTCCTGTCCAAGTCTCTTGTCAATCTACGCGCCACCAAGCACAAACACCCCTTCTGGACGACTAGAATGCTCGGCTCCGCCAAGGGGAGTTGATGTTGATGGTCATTATGGGTTTGTCACTGGGTCCCTCATGCAGTTTCATCGAGTGTAATCTATGGATATATATGGTAGACCAAACAACCATACAATAATAACCTATATATTATATATAACTAACATAATTTTGTAATGAAAAAGCAAACAAACTAGAGATGATCGGCTTGGGTCTCAGTTCGGCCCTTATAACTCTTCTAAATAGGGGATCCAACGCCAAAAAAACACACCGCGCATCGGCGCATCGGCGCTTGACCGCGACCGTGAACCGGATTTGACCGAGACCTCCGCCGCGACCGGACTCGCAGTCTCCAGGCGCACTCCACCAGAGCATCCACGATCATGGCCTCGGTCGCTGTCGTCGGTCCGCGCCGTCGGGTCGGTCGGTCCGCGCGAAAAGGGATATCTGTTGCGTCTATGTTTGGTGTTCTTCAGTTTCTTCCGGTGGTGGAAGGGTGGATGAGTGGCTTCCTGGGTAGGTTCTGCGTCAACTCTTGCAACATCAGTGTTGAACCTACCAAGACCACGTTGACCCACTAACATGGAAGTGGAAACCACATACTGTAGGTTCAGGGGAAAACCATAAACGGGAGCTGAACTCCACGTCATTCCCATGTCCATGTGTTCCTGGGAGAGTGCCCTTCTTCCCTTGTTGCCACCGGGGTCTGTCGACCACCACGACCAGCGGCATGTGTTCTCGGCGATGGCGCTGCGTTTGGTCGATCGGAAAACGAAGGTACAAACGAATACAAACGATAAAAATAAAACACTCGATCCACCGTTGTGGTTGAGCGGGGTGGACACACAATCCGGCCCAATCCCCCAAAGTGACGGTGACCTGCAGGTGAAGAACCTGACGGAGTTTGGATCCGAAACCAAAGGGGAATGCAAAACAACACATGGCCCATACACTCCATGCATGGAATATATGCCTACATTGACCCCCCAAACCTCCCCAATGTAGATATATGGCAGTCCCATGGAGTGTCCGGGTGGTGGTGCCTCCTCTGGCCCTGGCCGCTGCGCATGCGCATGCACCAACTTCTGCGTACCCAAGGGTTCTAACACCCCGAGGGTTCTATCAGAATAGGAATCGGGTTCATCCTGTTCCGATTCCAAGTGTTCAAACGAAGCCACCCCTGAGAGATGAAACGCGTGGATCATGGGTTGAACCTGGGACCTCCTCCAAGAGCATCGAACCACTGGTTGTCATTGGATTTGCGCAGGAACTGGGAAAGAAAAACACATCTATTGTTCACATGCCAAGGGATTCACTCATATATCCTATAAAATCAAAGTCGAACAGCGAGGTAGTGAGCATCTTCAATTGGGCCCAGTGATTAAGGGAAGGAAGACATGGTCAAGATACCCCAAACAGGGCCTTTTCAGGGCTGGATTCCAGATTCCAGCTCTAACCGGCTACGAAAGTAGCGTCATACATGGTCAACTCCACCAATCTCTGAAGGTGATGCGTTGCGTCTGTTTTCTGCTGGAGGAATTCCTTTGTACAAACATCTATATGTGGGAGTAGTTATATAAATAATGCTCCTTGTTGTCCTGTCACCTGGTGTCCTGCTTGAATCGACTTGAAACCTCCCCTCCCGGAAAAAATGATGCCAGTGAGAAGTCCAACACTGGCCCAGTTTTCTTGTGGGAAATCTATACATACAGGTCCAGTCTGACCCAGGTCCAAACCTGGTCCTGAAAACCTCCTGGTTCGTAGTGTTTTTGTATGGTCAACTCCAGCAAAATGAGGTCCCTTTGGTGAATACTATAAAAACACCTGAACATGACATCCCTGCAACACATTCAATGATGGCCAAAACGGAGGAGTGGAAGGACGGTCCCAACCAAACGGTACGGCAGTGGTACCCTCCCTGCAACGCACGGAAGTGGACAACCCCCTATTTGTAAACGAAACTGGTCAGCTGGAGGGGGCATGCCATCCACTTCCGTTGCAGGGAGGGTAGCGATCCGAGAAGCGCTTGGCTTACAACCCGAGATTGTTCGACCAAAAACAACATGGTGATCTTTTCCACCTGTGCGGGAATCCTGGGGCAAACATTCGAAGGCTCATAGATCCTGACCCACCGCCGCCGTGTGGGTGTTTCGGCTGGCTTTGTCGTCGTCCGTCTAGTGAACCTGGGCCTTGAACAGGAGGGAACTTTTGAAACACCTTGTTTGTGTGACTGGAGGCTTCATAGTCGTGTCGTTGAAGCGCCAGAAACACGTTGAAACTGAGGGTTCGCAGTGGGAGCGGAGCAAATCTGACATCAGATCTGAACCGTTTCAGGAACCGCTGACTTCCTTGACTTCTTGCTTTTCAAAACTCCGATCTCAACACATTCCAAAGGTTAAGAAGAAGCAACCACCTGCCGCAAACACCCAGCAAAAACATCTCTCAAAATCCTGAAGCTAAGAAAGGGTCCCTCCCACGTCCCAGCTCTCGGCCTCTCTTGAAACGACGTGTTTCATCGTTTTTCCATGGAACGGTGGGATCCATCGGTTGGTCCGTTGGTCCGATGTGTCGGGGGGACCCGAAGGATGCCGCGGCCAAGAGGCTCCGAACTTCAAAATCTCGTTGTACATGTCGCCTGGGTCGGTCCGGTCATCCGCTTGGGAGGGCCGTGGCGAGTCGGACCGTCTCGGTTAAGCCAGCGGAGGAGGCGTGGCGAGATCGACCGAGTGAATCGCGAAACGGTGCGAGGTTGGTTTTGGAGGGGACGCATCAAATGACCGACTCCCGAGCCGTTTCCCTGGAGAATACAGGTCAAGCGTGTTCGTTCGCTGTTGGCTTTCATTCAAACGCTCTGCCTTTGGGGCTCCAAAGTTTGATCTTCAGCTAAGAGCAGTGTATTGGGATCTGCACCTCGTGGCAGCGTGGGCCTCCCAGCGAGGGCCTCCATCATGGTCCTTGAGAATCCGGACCCCTTCCAGGGATGGCAGGGGTCCAACCCCTGCCGGGCCCTACGGTCCCTCCTCCAAACAGGAACAGGGTCATGTCCCATCATCTGGACGTTGGTCTAGCACACGAAGAAAAATTGTGCACCGATAACCGAGGTCCCACGCGAGGGGAACGGGGGGAGATGTCTTTTCTTTTTTGGTGAAGGTACAGATGTTGGTCAAAGTCAAACACTCCATGGGACTGCCATATATGCTTATACATTGGGGTGGTGCCAGGGGGGTCAATGTAGGCATACATGGAGTGTCTGGGAAAGTCAAACAGCAGCCGGACTCTTGATGACTCCTGCTTCCCTTCGCCTTTTCGGGGGAGAGCGGACCGTTTGGAGCGGTCCGAAGCGAGAACCAACGAATCTTCCCGGTCGATTTTTGACCTCGGTTTTGATTTGGAAGGTTGGTGGGTCCAAAATAGACGAGGTCATTCAGGTTCTAGAAATCTACGTGCCACCGTGCCACTCGTTCCCATCCGCATGGGAGCGCGCCCTCTTTCGCCGCTTTCAACGGCACGCCGAGCAGCGAGTGCCGCCGGAGAAGCCACGCCAATTCGCGAAAATGATGACCTCGGTCGCGCGAACGGCGAAGCGCTGCGACCGGCGGTGCAAGGGGCCGCGCTGCGCCGAAGGGCGGCGCTCCGCAGTTGGAACAGCCCTAGGGCTCCTGGCCTAGCTCCTGAGAAGGTGGTTGGGGTGGATTTGAGGGGTCTAACCACCTTCCGAGAATATGGTTGGAGCCCGATAGGGTAGAGTTGAAGGAAGAAGGTTGGTAGCATCATGATGAGCCACAGTGCTGGATGTTGGTCCATCAGTGACACACACGACTGCCAGGGACATTCGCCACCACGACGAGTAGACACCGAAGACAATTCGATGTGACAGGTCAACAACTGCATGGAGACATATCCGCGAAAACAAGACCTCTTTTAAGAAGGTTGACAAAGATATGTGATGTTGAATGTTGATCAGGAGTTGTAAACCCATTCTGGTAGTCTTGTTGTTCTTTTCTTTTTAAATATTATAAGGTCAACAGTCCTAGAAAACCATACCCCTTGCTCCATGAAACTAAGTACCCCGCAAAGTATTCACTATAAAGCCTCAACCTATATACCTTTGTATGTAAACCGTAACAACAGCACAACAAAGTAGCAACTTATCCGCCGACCCCTTGCGACTGCAAGGGGAGCGCGTGAGAGAAGGTACGAGTGCTCATGGTGTGGAGGGTTCAAGCCTGGTCGTGCTTTGTGGGGGCGCACGGAGCGGCCCCGGAGATGGCGCCCCAGACAGCGGGATAGAAGTGTTCCTATCGAGGTGCGAAAGCGGAAGAAAGGGCTTGCTCGAGGCTGCTTCAAAAACTGGTTTTACGGGATCCGAAAGCGAGGTTAGACATCTGGGCCTGCACTGGGAGGACAATTTTAGGACGATTTTTGGTCTCGAATTAGATGGTGGAAAGGCGCGGCGAAGCAGATTGCTGGGAGCCTTGGAGGGAGGGGACGAGCATGGTGTTGAGGGTACGAACTGTTTTTGGATGATTTTTGGTGTGGAAGTCGGGCTTGCTGGAGTTTTTGGTCTGGAAGTAGGGCTTCCGAAAGCGAAAGAAAGGGCTTGCTCGAGGCTGCTTCAAAAAGTTGTTTTACGGGATCCGAAAGCGACGTTAGACATCTGGGCCTGCGCTGGGAGGACAATTTTTGGACGATTTTTGGTCGCGAATTAGATGGTGGAAAGGCGTGGCGAAGGAGATTGCCGGGAGCCTTGGAGGGAGGGTACGAGCATGGTGTGGGCTAGACTGCTAGACATTTGCTAGACTGGCGAAGCACTCGGGAACAAATACATCTCGGTGAACCATTGCTTGCAGGGGATACGTCATCACACGGCCTGCTCTATCCATCATCTGACTATCCTTGCAGGGTTGCCGTACGCAATCTATGCACGGGCTCGCTACACCTCCATCTCTACGGCCATTACCACTTCTTTCTTTTCAGCAGTGGCCATCCTCGGCAGGTCAGATGAATTGCATGCCCAAAGCACGATCTATTTCTTCCCCGTATTCTTCTTCTTCTGCAGGTATCAATGTTCTCATCTCTGCACCTTCCTGCGACACAGGACATGTTTCTGAATAGGATCACTTCATCAAATGCTTGCTGCTCCATGCATGGGGGGCGCCTGCAGCTGTTCCCGCTTGCTAGACATGACCCGTGGCAGATTGAATCTTTGCCCGTGGCGATCCTGCCCCCGGCTCTACTCGCCTCCAGCGATTCATCTCCAGCTACATAGCGATCCCCGCCGCATCTACCCACACAAACTCCTGGGCACACATGCCGCATTAGGAGGAATTTTCTCTAAAACCCAGTAGTTTGGGAGTTCCATTTTCATCTGCAGGGGAGAAGAGGCTTTGCCACCCATGGCGGATTTATGATGTGACCAACATCCTTCAGTGAAAGTACCCCAAAGCTGATCCGAATACCTCTTGAGAAAGCAGGTCATCTTGAGTCATCTTCAGGACTATAAGCTTCTAACATAGTGCATCAACATAATACCACTGGGGCACATACACAAGTAGTATACTTCATCCAAGCTTCGGTGGCCTCCTTCATCGGCTGCCCCTGGCCACTAGAGAGTACGGGTTCCACCCGCACCCCCGCAGCGATACCGTCTAGGAGCAGCCACGGACGGAAGCTTCCAAGAACTGACTGGACAAAAGCTCCACCAATCTGCCCTGCAGAACGTGGCCCGCATAAGCGGACGCTATCTTGTGAAGATGCGGCTGGCATGTCGTTCATGCTGTCCGGAACAAGGCGGAAATATGTAGACAGCTATAACAAACAAAGAAGAGACGGAACAGATGGTAGAGACGTACGCGAAAACTAGTTGCATGCACCAATGACCTCTGTTTTTTCCTTCGGGACAGGGCACACAGCAGACCTAATTTAAAGTTTCCAGCGGATGAAACAAGGAGAGCCGCGTCGACTGGATTCTGGCAATTTTCCTTCCAAACAGTGGACCCTTCCAAACTGGGCCCATGGTTGCGCGCGCGTCACAGGACGGAGGTTTCTTTGGAGGACTTTTGACACTCCGGAATGGCCAGGAAGAGACGTACAGGATGGCACCACAACATCACCACAGACAGCGCATCGAAACAGCCAATCCCGGCCTAGCTTCGGTCGCCTCCTTCATCGGCTGCCCTTGGCCGCTGGAGAGTACGGGTCCCACCCGCACCCCCTCAGCGATACCGCCCAGGAGCAGCCACGGACGCAAGCTTCCAAGAACTGATTGAAAGAAAGCCCACCACTCTGCCCTGCCGGACGTGGCCCGCTTCGCAGGACGCTAGCTCTTGAAGATGGATCTCCAACTGAAACCCGCCCATGCCCATTGTATCTGAGTGAATTAGATTAGTTTCATTAATTTCGTTCACCTCGTACCTCGTCTTAATTTCATGTTTTGAAATTATTCACCTCGCCTCGTTTAGTTTCAATAATTTCATTCACCTCGTCTGCATTTGGTGGGGGGGGGCCTGAATGCCTGCCATGGCTTCCTGCACGTGCAAACTAGTAATCGGGCCTATTTCTTGACAATAGGTTGTTTTTTGTCTTTGGGATTCTTGGGGCTCTCTGCCCTGCATGGTGGGTGGAAGAAGCCCTGTAGCTCCTGGAAACTACACCCAACAGTGGCCCCTACAAGCCCCAATCCCTTCAAGCATGCCTTCAAGCATGCTTGGGACAAAAATCGGGCCTATTTCTTAAAAATAGGTTGCTTTTTGGTGTTTGGTATTCTTGGGGCTTCTGTGTGGCATGGTGAGTGGATCCCCTGTAGCTCCTGGAAACTACACCCAGCAGTGGCCTCTACAAGGCCCAATCCCTTCAAGCATGCTTGGGACAAAAATCGGGCATTTCTAAAAAAAGGTTGTTTTTTGTTTTTGATGTTTTTGGGGCTTCTGCGTGGCGTGGTGAGTGGGCCCCTGTAGCTCCTGGAAGCTACACCCAGCAGTGGCCTCTACAAGCCCCAATCCCTTCAAGCATGCTTGGGACAAAATCGGGCCTATTTCTTAAAAAAAAGTTGTTTTTTGTTTTTGGTATTCTTGGGGCTTCTCTGCATGGTCTTCTTGTCTGTGTGGATTGGGCATTGTCCTCATGAGAAGTGTTAGTTTAACCCGGTCGGATAGCCACGCGCTTCGGAATCGAAAGCTCATCTGTTCAAATCCCTCTGTGGTGGTATTCTGGTGGCTCTTTCCCTTGCCGGTTCCCTTGAACTTCAAACACCGAAAATAAAGTCAGGCCTATTTCTTAAAAATAGGTTGTTTTTTGGTTTTTGGTATTTTGGGGGGCTTCTGTGTGGCATGGTGAGTGGACCCCCTGTAGCTCCTGGAAACTACACCCTCTACAAGCCCCAATCCCTTCAAGCATGCTTGAGGCAAAAATCGGGCCTATTTCTTAAAAATAGGTTGTTTTTTTGTTTTTGGTATTCTTGGGGCTTCTGTGTGGCATGGTGAGTGGAGTCCCTGTAGCTCCTGGAAGCTACGCCCAGCAGTGGCCCTTACAAGCTCAAACCCTTTGTGCTGCTGCTGTTGCTGGACTTACCTCGCTTATTTTCGTTTTGAAATTATTCTACCTCGTACCTCGTCAGGTGAGCTCGCCTTAATTTGCCCAGATTGTATCTGACACATGCCTGAGGTTCAAGCAATCGGGGTTCGTGGACGTTCTGGCTCCGAAAGGACGATGACAGTAGTTTGATAAAATGCTCGAACCAACCTCGCATTAAATATGTTGGAAGACCTGATGAGATTTAGACAATGCATATCTTGGGAAAATGCGTCTCCCACTCTTGCTCTGAACAAACACAAACATCCAATTCTGTTCTTCGATTCTGTTCTGAACAAAACAATCAATCACAACGCATCCAATCCGAGACATGAACATGCTTGTCACAAGCTGCGAGTTCCATGACATGTTGGCTTCCTTCAAACACCCTGCCAATCACCTGAGCTAGCACAAAGCTTGACAAATCACTCATGACTCATGCAACACAAGCAGCTCCCTGTCTAAAAAGAACCTGGCGCAGCTCGCTCCCTCCGCCACCACTGGCATCACCTCCACCGGACCCAGTCAGCCCATCCGCATCCCATCAAGCTTGAGCTTTCCGGACTGGCAAATTCTCTCCCCGGTTGAAGTCTTTCAGCGCTTGGGCGGTCTTGAAAGCACTGTCCGGGAACCACACCTCACGGCGAGGCGAAACGCGGCGGAGGCCTGCGGAGACGCTGCTTGCAGCGCTGCGAAGGCACAGGTCCGACGTGGTCCTAACATGTCCTAACATAGCAATGCCAACCCGGCGGGTAGAAGAAAGAAAACGTCCAAACTGGTGGATTGCCGCAGCTATAGTTTGGGTGAGAGTACATGTCTTCGGCGCGATCTCTACTTGTTCAGCGAGAAATCGGAGCGGGACCGTCGTCCCACTTGCTATCAACACATCGGCCACCTTATCCGAGCTCGATCGGTGTCGGGATTTGCGCCAAGCCTTTCTTAATCGATCGATCTTAATATAAACAATCAAGGCCAAAGGCCAGGGGTCTATCTTTCGTCATCACTTGCTTCTGTAAAACGTGCTGCCAGCCTGGCATCTGTTATTTTGTTCGGCGTGTCATCATTGGAAGATCCCTTGGGATTCAGGCCTCGGAGACAATTCTCCCCTGCAAACTGGGGGTTGCCCATTTCCATCTTTGTTTGGGGGAGGGTACCACCCAGTGGAAATCGCTCTCTTGGACACTCTCTTCTATTCATGATCCAGTTGAAAATATCTAAATTAATATTACTCGTTAATGTATTTTAATGTTGTTTCTCTTTGGTTTTGCATCAAAGCAGTATATAGCAGTACTATCAATTGTATGATATTGTATGATGGGGTCACCTCTAAACATCATGGCATGGTCTAAAGATTCTAAAGGAGCACGAAACAGCTGGTCATATTACTTGTAGTAGTTGAATTGAACAACTTGTCCTCCGATTTCCAAACTTCAAACAATCAAACTTTTGATTTGTCCCTCATGCCAACCCCCCATGTTATGATTCTCCTTTGCAACATGCTGTACCTATGGTTCTTCCAAATGAGCTAAGCCCCTACCCGGGTCACCAAGGAAACCTGTATGCTCACCGGTTGCATCAACGTGGCCGCTGGTTGTCGGCTTTTGCTCCACCGATTCCCGTGCCGAAAACCGCGCCTTTCCTCCCATGCTCTCCTTCACCTGCCACCGACGAACCGCCAAAAGTCCACCAGTGGGGCAGGGCAATGATGACCCAAAACCACACAATGTCCCACCTGTTCACCTCCCGCTGGACGATCAAAACTATCAGTTTGGAAAACACATATCGGTATATATATATATGCAACTCCAACAACCAAAAAACGGTAAAACCAAACTAAACAAAACAGGTCACTTAGTTCCGCACATTTTACACAATCCTTGAAACAACAAATAACCTGAACTACAATGGATGCTACATGTTCCACCGGTTTCATCAAATATAGAGCCATGGGACCACCACCCAAGTTCACCAGACCCCACCAGCCCTGTCCTTCATTGACGGTCAAAAATCCTCATCCATAACAGGAAACATGAATCAATCAACGATTCCCCAATTCCACCATCTTCCCAACTTCCCCGGTGCGTTTTCGCAAAACAAACTTACGGTGAGTAGCAGGATGCTAAGTCATCTCGTTGGGCCACTCACTCCCCCATTCCTACCGACTATATGCACCAGTCATCTTCAGGGCGTTCCCATCGTGACCCTTTTCCAGACACTCCCGCCGTCCCCTGCGTCCCATCCATCCCCGCCTCGCAACTCTCGGGATTCGAAGGATCGGCTGGAACCAGCCGATCCACGCTGCGAGTCTCCACCTCGGACATCTTCGCGGAGGCAGGAAGTCCGGTCCGGCCCAACAAGCGGAAAAAACGGCGCCAGTGACAACCGGAACCTGAGTGAGACCTTTATACTTTAGAATCACCAGCCACCCAAAATATGTGTGCTTTTACATTCCCCAAGCAGTGTGGACTAGGGGTTCTTACGGTAGTAGTTAAGCACCTGTGTTAGATCACTGCGTCGCGCGAGCGTGTCCGGCTAATTCGCTGCTATGTTCAGTACATTCATGCCTCTCAAAATCGTCGACGTGCATTTCGACTTGACACGCTCGCAGAATCTGCGTGGGCACGGCGGGTGCTTCTATATAGCGACTGCGCTCTCGTTGTGATGCCGCGCGCATTTTCGGATATGGTGGTCATTTTTCGTGGCAAGCGCGAGGGAAACCTCGTGTTTTCGTGGTTTAAGTCGACTTTTCGTGACAGGTGCAAGGGATCGGAACGGTTTTAAAACCGAAATGCAGATTTCGTGGCAGGTATATAACACTTTGGACATGGTTGTGATCTTCGAGGCGCTCTGATTTTGTGACGAGTGCAGTGAATCGTGACTTTTGGAGATGTGGCTCGTTTGCAGATTTCGTGGCAAGCTTTGTGAACCTCGGAGTGAACATTTCGTGGCAGGCAGCACTTTGTGAACCTCGAAGGGCAGATTCGTGGCAGGCATAGCACTTTGCAAACCTCGAAGTGCAGATTTCGTGTAGCCGGCGCCGTCGGTGTAACTGATGTAGTCGGTGTGCCGGTGTCGTCAGTGGCGGCAGTGGTTGTGCTGGTCGGGCGGTTACGCTGGTTTCGGTGTTCGCGCTGTCTATGCTGGTCACACTGGGTAGGCACACATGTAAAGGTGAGGAGCTTTGTGGTTTTGCCGCGTTGGTGCCGACGTTCGCATAGGTCTTGGAACTCTTTGAGGCTGTAGAGATCCCTTCCCCAGATCACGACCCAATGTGGGTCATCGAGTCTGTTGTTCAGGGCTCTGTCAGTGATACTCGCGATGTCCTCATCGATGTATATGAGCTTGGCAAACTCCATGTCATGCGCTGTCTTGTGACCAATGCCATAATCCACCTGGGTTTTTGCCCTCGGTGGTGTTGGTAGATGCCCATGTCCAGCAATGTCCCTTAGCTGGATGTCCTGGAGAGTGATTCCGTGCTCAGTCATTCTTTCGATGAAGGTGACATCATTCTCATACCTATCGGCCATTGAGGTGTAGCCCAAGCCAATAGCCCTTTTGAGCTGCTTCCTTGCGGTCTCAACGAAGTCTCCTTCCGGGCTCCGCATGCCACGGGCAGATTCCTCGTGGAACTGCTTGCTCTGGCCACCAAGCCGTTCAATGGTGTCGGCATTGAGCTCACTGACCAGGTCCTGCTCGCTCCCAGAGTCGATGAGCCATTGATGGCGTCCTTTTGGCGCAGGCGTGGCAACGGTTGGTGGAATCAACACAGTGTGGATCTTGCATGGGACTCGTAGATTCCTACAGCATTTGCAAGTCAGACTTTCAAGGTCATCGACACAGTTGAAACCGCATGATGGTTGAACCGAATTGCCAAATTGCTTCACCGTTTCCTGTAGCTTTCTGGCTGCCGTTTTGGCATTCAACACATGGATTGGGTCCACTTTCTTTGCGGCTTCTGCAGTGGTGAGAACTTCATCATACTTCCTAGGACCATGTACAACAGGGTTGCATTCTCTTCACTCCTACCCTTTTGTCGAAGGTGACTCGCTTTTCACTCCCTTTTGCCCTCTCTTTTCCGGGGCTACGGTCCGAACCGTGCTTGCGACGCGTAGCACTGCAGGCCTAGTTCTGTCGGACACAAGGAGCGGCCGGCTTTTTCGGCTTTGGTTCCTTCTTGGGCTTCGGTGAGTTCGGCCGAGCTGGGTCCTTGGGACTTGGGAGCTGCTGCACCCTTCTTTTCGTGTAGGTACAGGCATTTGTTCCCACGACGGCAGTCCCCGCGAGCGAAATAGATGCAAGGAGTCTTTGCCATTTCCTCCTTTATTGAGTTTCTTCTTTGGGTCACGACTGGGATAGCGAGGTGTACGCTGTCTAGACGGCGACCTATCCTTCTTGTCATGACGATACGGACAGTCTTTTCCTTTGGCACACTTCCCCTTTACGAAGTCTCTACATGGGATCTTCTTTTTGTCAGGAGTCCCCCCTCTTGGTGGGGTCTTCTCCCTCTTTGCCGGGGGCGCCGCCGGCAGTCCTGCCCGGTCTTTGGGATTGTTCGGCTTGGGTTCCCAGAGAGCCCAAAGACCTCTAATTAAGGGAAAACCCTCTAATTAAGGTGAAGCCCTTTAAAAACAACCTCTATTTAGATGTTAATCCTTTAATTAAAGGTCTTTACCCCTTAATTAGAGGTCTTTGGTCCCTTAAAAAAGGTATAATCCTTTAAATAAAGGGTTTTGGTGCTAAAAACATACAACCCTTAAATAAGGGGTTTTGATGGCTCATGATTGGTGGGAAAAACATGTCAAACACATGTTTAGCTGACATGTTTAATCTGGTGAAACCTCCTGTTCCACTAAAGGAGGTGCCTCCTACATGAAGGAGCATTGTATATTTTTATCATATTAGTTGTATATTGTCTGTTTGAAGGAGAAGCCTCCTGCAAAGGAGACTTCTCCTGTTACCCCATCCCAACCCAGCAGCTGCAGCACCTTTTTCTCAAAGCGAAGGGACCTGGTGCAAGGCTGCAAACTTATGGAACATGCCTTGTGCCACAGCCAAGCAACTGAGGTTACCTCCTCGCCTTCTAGCAAGTTCTGACATTTGCCCTCCCCAATCCTCATCTCTGTAGGTCCACCCAGTGGATGGGGAGGCTTTGGGGTCAAATGTCAGTTCCAAGAACAAATGTAGTTTTGGGGTAACCTTGAAAAGTTGTCGACCTTGCTGGACAGAAATTTGGTTCAAGGTGACATACAAAGCAGCAAACTTCAAAGCTTCTCTGTGCAAAGCACTTGGTTCAAACACTTGCTGGCTCAATTGCTGGTAGCAATTGTGCAAATGTTGGGCACATTGGATGACTGCAGCTTCAAAAGAATCTGCATTGTTGAGCAATACTGTGCATTGCAACAAAGAAAACAAAATCAAGCCTTTTGCCTCTCCTGTTTTGGCTCTCAACTTAGGAGAAGTAGAACTGGAAGACTTTTTCTTGTCTTTGTAAAGCATGGAAGCCTTCAGCAAAGGCATTTGGGAATCAATGGCATACTCCTTGTAGTAGTTCTTCATGCTGACATGCAAAGCTTTGCACCTCTGGTCCACATTGTTCCCAGGCAGCTTCTCTGACAACAGGACAAAGACAGAGGCTAAAGGTCATACATAGAGAAATAAAATAAGAATCACTAGGTTTATGGTAAATAAGATATTCATGGTCAATGCTCATGTATGCATAGGAGGTGGTGGCCCTTCTCCTGCTGTGCCAAAACCGGAAGAAGTGCCTGCGCCAGCTGCTGCTGCCACCGCAGAAGTTCCCAATGGGGGGGGCGTCCCCCCTGAAGCTCCCAATGAGGCTGCCAATGAGGTTGGGGAATCTCCCAATGAGGAGCCCAAGCCAGAGCCTGGGGCCAAAGATACTGAGAACTGAATATCTTCTCACATATCTTCCAAAGCCATCTCAGCTTGAAAAAAAGGTGTTGCTTTGCTGCTGGGTGGTGATGGATGATAAAGCTCCTTGGTGGGCAGGAGCTACAAAAAATAATACCTCCTGAACTAGGAGGTCAATAATCAATGGTTGATATGTTAAAAAAACCTCCTGGGATTAGGAGGTATATAAATAATTTAGGGCTTCTACAAAGACCAACCATTTAACTTCATTTAACTTGGTCCATTTAACTTCATTTAACTTATACATTTAATTGGAAATGCTTTCATTTTGGTAAGTTAAATGAAGTTAATTTAACTTATGGTAAGTTAAATGAAGTTAATTTAACTTGGAAAATGAAAGCATTTGCAACTAAATGGCCAAGTTAAATGAAGTTAATTTAACTTGGGCTGGTTTTCACAATTTAATTGGAAATGCTTTCATTTTCCAAGTTAAATGAAATTAAATATATACATGTTTGTGGCCGTGAGCTAGTTTGATAAGATTTTAGGTGAACAACACAAGGTTTGAGGATTGTGCACTACATTCCTTTTGGAAACAGTGCATTTCAAATATAATTTCCAACAGCTTTTTCTTGGTTTCTTCATTAGTGCATTCTCTGCCAAAGATTTTGGTAGCTGCCAAAGACTTTTCATTGCAAACAGACATTCTGCATTTTGATAAGCATCACTGCAGCTTTTGACTATCAAGATACAGGTGCACCTCATTTGACACAGAGGCTGCAGGTTCTGCAACTGCCTCAGGCTCGTCCAGGGCCAAGGATGCTGCAGGCTTCTTCAAAGCTGCAGAGGCTGGCCTTTTCATCGGTTTGGAAACAATGTGCAATGCCAGGTTGGGAGTATCTGACTCACACTGCTCCTCATTGCCAAATTGGTGCAGCAAAAAGCCTTTGTCCCCAGGAACACATTGGGCTTCCAATGTCTCACCATTGGCTAGCTGCCTCTTCATGACACCCTTCTCCTGGTCGAAGAATAGCAAAAGCACAGCAGCAGTGTCTCCATTCTCGTGTTCAGGAGCTACTTTCATGTCTGCAACAGGAGGGGCATTCCCCTCCTGAGAAGAATAATCCATTGCAAACACTTGGGATTTCATGGCTCTCCTTTTGGAAGGTGGGCTCACTCCATAAAGCTCACAGGGATTCACTTTGCTACTGCTGCTAGCTTCAGCTTTGCTGCTGCTGGCAGACTGAGCAGCCGCTGCCACAGGCAAAGAAGCTTGGGAGAATGAACGCTTGGGAGCAGCAACTTGGTGACTGGAAGGCTCCAGGTGATCCCATTTAGACATGGCATCCATCACCCTTTTGACAGCAGGATGGGTTTTGGCACCACTGGTGGTGCTCTTTTTTTACTTCTGCATTCAACCAAAGCAGAAGCCAGTTGCCTGCTAAAATATTTCGCTTCATCCACACTGGTGCCCTCAAAGGTCTTCAAGACAGCAGTCTGCAAAAGAGTTCTGTTGACCCTGGGTGTCTTTGACAGCAAGGCCAGCAAAAAACTCTCATAGGAAGCTACCACCATGGCAAAGTTCGTGTCTTTGTAGCCATCTCCCTCTCCCTTAGGAGCTTGTTGACATCTTCCTGGCTGCAGGAAGTGGATGCTCTGCCAAGTTTCCCTTGGCCAGACATGGTGACACACAGCTGGCCTAAAGCTTGGGAAAGAAAAGGCTGCAACATGTATTCCTTGGCCTGGCCAAACACAAATTCCACACAAACTTGCACAGCTCACAGCAAGGAGCTCCTGACATGACACAAGGAGCTCCTATGAGTCATTATCAACAAGAAAACTATATTTGTTATGTAGAAAAACATACCCTTGAAAACCCTCTAATTAAGGTCTATTGAAAAGACCTTAATTAGAAGGTTTTCACCTTAATTAGAGGTTCTAAATTTAAGGGGTTTTCATTTAGAGGGTTTTGGGCTGTCTGGGTTGATTCTTGTCAACAATGCGATCACGATTCTCCCTAAGCCGTTCACGATCGATCAGGTCACAGATCGCCTTCACAAGAGATGAATATGTCTTGCTGGGCTCACCCTCTTTTGCCCGATCGTAGGTGTCAATATCGTCCTTGAGAAGAGTGCTAGGGCGAATTTGGCGGAGGAGAACATCACGAAGAACGGTCTCTTCGGGTTCTTTCTTCATACCCGCAAGCACAGCGTCCCAACTTCTTGAGGTCTGCAATGGTGTCCCCAAACTTCGCTACCTTCAACAGGTCCTCCAAAGAATAAAGGGTACCAGCTTCCTCGGATGTTTTGAAGTAGTCATCAAACATTAGAAGTACCGTGCGACCCCTGGTTTGATGTCCCTTCTTTGCTTGCTCCTCCTTATGATTAAGGATTCTATGTCCCAGGTCACCGCGGGCTGACTTCGTGAGAGCAGCGGTGAGCTTCGTGTCCAGAGTCACGAACTTACCTGGATTTTGGAGCTTTGCCTCGAGTTCAGCACGAGAGAGTTTGGGGTCCCAAACTTCCATGATCCACTCCCATGCTTCATCGGGTTTGTCTGATGATGATCGAACAAGCTCACGAGCAAGATTCTTCCATTGAGGTCTCAGGAGTGGGCATGTCCGGTATGGCAATGGTATTGGGTTCTTTAACCCTTGGTTTGCCTTCATCATCCTTTTTGGATCTGATCTCTTTGAGTAATTCCGCTAGACTGCTCATCAAAGCATTGGCGTCTCCTGAAGAAGCTGGGACTTTGCCATCAACTCCTCCATCACCTATACTACATTGGACATTCGATCGTCTGCCGTTTCACGTGCATCGACAAAATGCTCTTCTCTACTCTGGGCATGCTCTGGAGCAGCGGGAGCTACTGAACCAGCTGACGTTCGTGAGGGATAGAAGTCACTGAGCTTCTGAGCAAACGTTGCGTCAAGCCTGGCCTTCCAATCGATCTCCGCCGCTTGGGGTAGAGCCTCGCGGCCTGCTGATTCGGATATCGCAGGCGTGGTCGTCCCTGGCTGGTGATGTACTGGTTCACCTTCTCGCGGCGGAATCATTCCGTCAAGCTGGTCTTGAAGGAGTGCGTTAGTCTCTGAAGCCTTACGCAATTCGTCCTCAAGGTAAGCTTTCCTTTCTGTCCATTCGGTCTCCATAACTTGGTGCTGCCTTCTTTCTTCAAGGAGTCCTCTAGCTTTGCTCGAGGCATCCTCAACCATCTTGTCAAACATTTTTTTCCAACTCACTCATCTTTTCGTTCATCTTTAGCGTATGAAGCTTCTCAGCTTCTGCCTTTTGCTGCGCCATCTTTTGTTGGTGCAGTTCGTCCGCACTAGCAACTTTGGCCTGACTTTCAGCCAATTGCCTTTCCAACGAGTTGATCCTTTCTTGCATGGACATGACTTGCTTGTCACATACTTCTTTCATTTGATCAATAGCAACTCTGCATTGCGAACCTAAGGCTTGGATTGTAGACTGCATGATCTCTCGATGTCTCTGTTCTGCTTCATTGCGAACAGCTTCTTCGTTTCCTGATGCAATCTGATGAACATTGTTTTGTATGAATTGGAAATACGCGTTCACGCTCTCAGATCCCATCAACCACGTCCTCGGGCACGAGGTTACCCCCCGGCGGTCGGTACGACATTGCCGGAGTAGGGAATGAGGGCGAGCGCGGCATTCACACCGTCGTCTGTAGCCATGGCAGAGGCTACGGCTGATGACCTGTATTTTCAGGCTCAACCACTAAAATACAATCAAATTACCGCTAAGCTGCAACTGCAAGCGCTCCTTGCTGCGTGCTTCAGCCAAATTGGCACATGTGCGTAAAAGCATAGCATTAGGTGATGTATTTCAACACCAAGAAAGCCAAAAAATGCAATGTTGATTTCTGGTGTCTCCCGTTCCAAAATTTTGGTAGTTTCATTGTCTCTATTCTTTGGCTGGCTGGGTCTACAAAATCACACACTCTACAAAATGGGTCGTCATTTTTTTATTTGGGAATTTGCACTCTACCTGACTTGCAAAACTGGTACCCTCTACAGAATGTATCATGGACTGTTTCTGGTGTTGTTTGATCATGTTTTTCTCTATTTATCCCCTTCCAGCACTTTCCCATTTTGTAGGGTGTGTCCCTGTGCTTCTGTAGGCCTTTGGGGAACCACTTTTCGTGCTATATACAGCTACATATATAATGTTTAGCACAACCTATCTTGGCTAAATCACAGGGGGATCAACATGAACTATACCGTACTTTCCCCTTCTCTACAAAATGAGCCTAGTCCTATTGTACTCTTGGCATCTGAATAGTCCAACAAAATCTCTCTGTGTGTGTCATCGTTTCATCTTGATTGTCATGTTGTACGTAGGCTGTAGACCCTTTTGAAGGCTTCATTTTGTAGAGCCAAAAAATGATTACTACAAAATGCTCTTCCACATTTGAGTCATAAAATATAGCCCAAGTATCTCTACAAAATGCTATAAACATCTTGGAGATACATTCTCTACAAAATGGTTTGCGAAGAATCTCTGCAAAATGCAAAAGGCTCTTCCATGCTCTTCCACATTTGAGTTGAATAGCCTAAAAATCTCTACAACATGCAGTCGACAAAATGCTATGGCAGACTCACCTCAAATAAACCAAACATCTCTACAAAATAAGACCTTCAAATGTCAAGGGTGTTCGGTGAAATTCGTAAAAAAATACGACTAATTCCTGGGCCTTGACGTCAGCTTGTTCTACAAAATGGGACTGGTGAGTGTGGGAACAGAGCCTTTAAAAAACGTTCTCTACAACATGGCGTGGTACGTTAAGCCATGGGGTGCCCCTTGAGTTCGACACCCACGTCGACACGTCGACACTTGGGCACCCGGCCGCAATGACACCCATTGGAATGCCTGTCCCGAACGACCAAAGGAAGTCTCCGGAATCTGAAAGAACCAAACAAAATGCGAATGGTGATTCTATATTTCGGGGGTGGGCCTGGAATATACCCCAAACGACCTTTTTGTATGTTTGTTCAATTCAGGATTCTTAAAACCCTATAACAAATTTATATATAGTTGAGGACACGCTGAGCTTCCAGATTCCAGACTCTTATATATCACATAACAACTCTAGATGTTCTCCACTCAAACAAAGAATTCCTATGGCAAAATTGAATACGAGTATGTTGAACTTTGTAAAGGGGTATGCTGTCCACGAGAAGACAACCTTATTGCAAAACAAATATTTATAATGGACGATGAAGTTGAGATGATTAATTGTATTTTGGGAGAATTCTTCAAATGTGTCTTCGTGTACAAATGTGATAAAGCCACACCCTTTTGCCGCTTTATGGGCGTTGTGGTTGGTCCACCCACTCAATCCCAGTCACAATGTTAAAACACGTGATGAAACATGTTGAAACCTTGTCCCATTCCAACAAATAGATTGTATGTTTCAGTCCAAGTATTTTTCTATGCAGCCCAGCAGCCCAAAGTAAAACATGGCACAGTAAAACTTCATCCCAAATCTCCCAGAAGTCGCAAAAGAGCTTGCCAGAGCCGGAAGCTTCGAGGCTTTGACGACCTTCTCCGTGCCAGAAACGGACACCCCAAAATGCACCAACCACACAAATCGTACAGGTTGCACCTTGGACTCCATTCACATCCGTGAACCGGTCTTAGCAAACTAACGAAGCAGCGCGCAAGTTGCGCCGTTCGCCACTGGAACCAACCAGTTTGTCACCTTCACCTGGGTCACTGGTGCGACGAGTGCATGGAATGAGGGCGGCGGACCCGCCCCCTCACTATGAAGAACCTCAGGGGTTTCCAGCCACCCTCATTCCATGCACTCGTCGCACCAGGATCCCCTGGGTGGGCTTTGTCCGCGCCGGATTCGCCTCGCCGGTGGTCGACCGACGAGTTCTTCTTCTTCTTCCGGAAGGAGATCAGCAGGTATCCAAGGAAATCTGTGGAAGAACAATTATCATGCATAATACACAATTACTATATTACGCATATGTCATTTAACATTCTATATAAATATAACATCTAATAACAATCAATTAAGCTAGTCAAACCCAAACGGGATCCATATTTAACTTATATAACATATATATATATTATGCAGTATATCAATTGTGATCTCCGATCTCCGGTTTCCATCGAGTGCTCGAACGAACGCAACCCAACCCGAGCCGGTGGCCTCCCAAGCGGGCACGGCCGGTGATCACGGTCCGGCCCCAGCCCTGAACGAGGCGAACAAGGCTGGTTTGCCGGTGAGCGGAAGGGAAAGGACGTCGGTTCGTTCGGTGAGCCGAAGGAGGTTTGGGGGTGGCACACATCATGTTGAAACATGTTGAAAAAACGGTCTCAACCTGTCATGTACTGCTGGTCTCACCGGTCTCACCCTGAATTTGGTGTCCAATTAATGGACCATGTCAAACGATGACCTGTTGGAGGGTGCTGCCGGTGACATATATGGTCATGGATGGTCATGGTTGTTTCTGTTCAATAACGAGTGGTTTCAAAGGATGGCACAAAACCCAAGATGTGCTGAACAAATGGGATTGTGATGGATTGTGCCATCTACGCTGAACCCCCTGTATGTTCTGATTGCTGTTGTTGTTCTTCTGCTGCATCGTTAATTTTGCCTTTGGCCTTCAAGCTAGAATTGAGATTCGATCAAGTGCTATGCAATGTAAACCCGGCAGGTCTACTTCTACATCTTCTACAGAATCTATAGAAGACACAACACTGACTTCATCATCCGCATCCGCAGCTATCAGCTTGAGGCAAACCACACACGTCTCCAAAATCTCCAACACCCACTGAAACATCTAAACGTACATGTTCAAAGCATTGCTGTTTCTCTTCACGCACACAAAAGCGAGGTTCGCCAATCCCAAAGCATTTTTGTGTCTGCTCGTGTCTACTGTAAAAAGAAGAATCTGGTGACAGGAGCCATGGTCGCCGGCAGCACGGAAGGTTCTGAAGCTGCCTGTAGTCAAACTGGCTAAAGATCAATCGCCTTGCCCTTGAAGATTGAGGGGAAATGACATCAGTTATTACATGCAATCAAAGTAGACCCGAGAGATCTTCCAAACGTAAAGAGATCTTCCCAAAGAGCCAACTTCCGAACTTCTCAGGGACAACGCTGAAAATGTGAGACATCCAGCCACGACGTCTCTGTTGGCAGCTAAAACGGCGTCGACGGGCGTCTCAAGCGGAGTGACTGAAGTCGCAGGGACATAGCCCCAAATGTTCCACAATTCCATACCTTGTCCTTTGCTGGGAAATGCTGGGAAGGTTGCATAGGGTCATCTGTGATGTAGCCCTACAAAGTCAAGGTTGACATGCTTGCTCTGAAAAACCCGATCAAAGTGGGGCGCCCCGCCTCCAAGTATTCGACCCAGCTTCCAGCGTCGAAGAAGCCTCTCATTCGGTTGCCCTCATGGTCGATGACCCCCTGCGACGGACGCGCGACTGGCAAGGCTTCCGAGCTTCGGTGCAAGGAAGTGGATGTGGCTCTCGAAGAGAGTGGAGGGGTAGACATGTTGGGGAAAACCTTGGATGGGCAACTCTGTTGGGGGAATGGGCATCTTAAATCATCTTAATATCCCCCTTACTTGTTGCATATCGGCGAGAGATTGCAAATGATATATACTCATTTCATAGAGCCACATGTATGGAGGATATCTTATACTCTTCTTCATGCGCCTTTGTCAAGTTCGTTCCATGGTTCGCTGGTTGTCAGTCGTTCCACGACTCCTCAAGGCGCCGGAGTCTGTCTGCTGTCTACAGGGAGTCTAGGAGAGCCTGCTGCTGGTGAGAAAACAAAGCAGGCTAAAGAAAACAGTCAGAAACAGAGGACCTTCCCTGTTGGCGGATATTTCACTATATATTTGATACTATTTGATACCCCATGAACATCTGCTTGGCCCGCGGTTGAACCCATTCTTATAGTGGCATGCTGGCTAGTGGAGTATACGAGATTCCTGGCGACATCGACCTCGACCTCGTGTCAAACGGACGGCCAAACACTCGCTTCGCGGCGCGGAGCCCGAGCAGCCGTGGTTTGGGCCCCAGAAAAAAACCGTTCCGACACGCGAGAAAACTGGAACATTGAAGGGGTGAACAAACTGATAGGTACGACTGGACCCGACAATGGCGCTTACATAATATACCTGCACCACCCTTTGGTGCAGAAAAATTTGCCTTACAAGGAGGATGAGCCCAATCAGCCGCTTCAAAATTACTGGAACATGTTCAAGTATGCAGAGCATGTATGTATATATCTAAACAAGCATTTTCTGCTTACACAGCACAGACAAAGCTGCCAGTAGCCCCGAGCTCACACTGTACCGCCGACATATTCGCATATTCAGGGTCCCGGCTCTAGCTAGAATATAGCGCAAAGTGACTCCATCGCCATAGAACCAGACAGGCCCTCTGACACAAGTTGCACAGACATCAAGCAATGAATAGATATAGATATATACATATCACAAAAGCCTCTACTTGCCATGCGCTACATGCACAAAAGCCCACAGATGACAGCACATGTCCAAGCTTCATGATCTCCTGCTGCATGTGCCCTTTGGGGCGCACTGCAAATAGCTTCCAGGACTTGCTGTTACAGTAGGTGTGCAAGGCGCTGATTCCTTCCTTTGCAGAAGGGATCTCAAAACAGTCAGTTGCATGAGCTACATAGCCAACAATCTGAAATAATGCCTGCAAGGTTCAGTGAAGGACTGACATGCTTCAACACATTGCTCAGCAACATGCCTTTCAAGCCATGTCTTGTGGCTCGGGATCAAATGAAAGTACTTGTCAATCTTCGCCAGGGTGAAGGAAAGTAGCGCCCATATATCTTTATCAACACCCTCAGCAGAAACCAGACAATCAACGGGTCCGTGAGCACAAGCTAACGTCATGACCGTCAAGGCAACATACTCTGAGCATCAACAGGACATGCAACATTCTCTTCTGGTTGCACTGTTCGTACAACATGGAGGAGCCACTTTGAAACCACAGTGGTGTCATGGCCTTTCCATGAGCATTTGGGATAGTCTGACAGCCTGAATGTCGACCCACAGGCACAACAAGCACAAGCACACACACATACACTCACACTGAGAAAGTGCATCACAGTGAGTCAAGAAGCGACGTCATTTTGAAAGTGGCAAGCTCAAACTTTGTCAAAGAGGTGTTGCACTGCATGGTACGGCGCCAAACATCAAAGGATTCAAAGGCGCGGGACAAACGGGCTTCGATGTTGTTGCCTCCAAACAAGTGCCAGCGGCAGGCTAACAGAACCTCTGCAGTGCAGTGAAGCTGTATGTTAGGGACATGCTGCTTGCAAGCCATTTGGCCACCGTCAAAAAATTCACATGTGAGTAGGAGCGGATGTGATGATTCTTGCTTGAAAAGTAGGCAGCATGACAAACTATGAAAAAATCCGCTCGAGTGGAAAATGCGCTCGATTTGTACCTTGCTAACAAAAGACGCTCGAGGACAGAAATGTGTACCAAATGCACCTCGACCAAATATATGTGTACCAAGGGGTGGTGCAGGTAGTCTCTATAAGCACCGTACCTGAGAAGGTACGACTGGATTTCTAGGGGAATAATTACCCACATCCGAAACTTCGTCCAATCCGCCGAGGCATGCAATCAGGGATGTAAAAGGGGGGTGGACCCCTTCCAACATGTGGCAACAACACCACCATGTGACCATGCATTATTCTTGAAACCGAGTTGATCCCGTGAACCTCTGAACCAAAAACGGCCTGATCGTTGGACTTGAATGCTTTCACTGAACCTTTTTTTTTGCAAAACAACATCGAAAACACATCTCGGTCTGTGCCCGCTATGGGCGATTTATAGCTACCCGAGACGTCAAACCCTGTCTCCTCCTTCACTCCCCACCTCCACTCCAACGATCCCGAACGGCCGCACGATCGACGGGTCGACGGGTCGATCCCCGGCGCCCGGAGGAAGTCGCGAGGGTCGTAGGGCAGCCTCGGTCGGTCCCGGTCCCTGTGACCACGCCGGACGTGCGTGGAGGTCTTCCGTCAGACGGGTGGAGTTTGGGATCGTGGAGGTGTGTGACCTCCCAAAAATCCGGACACCAGGTGGATGATGATGGTGTAGGGATCCAGTCGTACCTTCTCAGGTGTTTGGAGACACTGTTATGTAGGTTTCGAGGCTCCAAGTACCTTCTGAGAAGGTATGTGGATCCCTAGGGATGGTTACGTAGGTTGCAGGCTTTCTCCCCAAACCCCCAAAACCACTTGTGTTTTCGTCTCTGACCGACGGCTATCTACATGGCTAGACTGGTTGGCTTGCTTGGTTTTTCGACCCGGTGGATCTTATGAGTCCACGTGAAGAACCCCGGGTGACGATCACCCAAACACTCCATGCATGGAACTTCTGCATACCTACACTGCATACCTACATGGACCCCTGAAATCATGATATCCCCGAGTGGCCGATTCTCGGCCGCCGAAGAAGAAGGAAGTCCCATGTCGTGTCGTGCCAGAGGTTGAAGAACCCGATAGAGTTCGACTCTCCCAGCTCGGTGCCCCAGGTTACGGTCCTATAGTTCAGGTCACGACTTATATAACCTCTCTTGGTGTCTGGGTCCAACCCGACGTGGTTTTGTTTTTTTTGTTCTTTTTACGTGGTCCGAATTGGGGCAGTCATTCGAACCAGAAGGTCGGATCCGCAGAACCCCCAGCCGGTTCGTTGCAAACCTGTTTCGGCTAGCAAACGTTTCGGCTAGCAAACGTGACGGAACTGGAGGGTTGATACAAACGTGATCCTTCAAAGGCCTGTGTTGCGAACCATCTGGGACCTCAAAAGGGTGCCTTTCGGCCGAATCAGAAGGTTAACATCGTACGCCTGGGGCGAGCTGTGTATTTTTCCTCAAAAACCTTGGGCGAGCTGTGCAGCGCCGGTACATTACTGCAACCCGCACAAGTTGCACTTGTACAGATTCGATTTCAACAAGCCTTGCACAAACAAATGAACACAAAATACATACTTTGAGCACCATATTTGGGTGTTCACTGTGCTTACAACATTTCTCGAAAGAGCATTCCTTGAACTGCTTTCATGTCATCTTTCATGAACGCTGCGTGCGTGTTTCTCTCTCAGGGTCTCACCTTATATATATATATATGAGATTTGTATGAGCGGGTCAATGTGGAAAAGGAGGCTTCCAAAGGTCCATTTTCAAAGTCCCTGTTAATCTTCCCGGGTGTACTCCATGTGTTCTAAGAGCCCAATTCTCTGCAAGCCTTTGAGTGCCTTGGAAATGATCTGCTTGTCTTGGAGCTGGAGTTTTGTCCAGCTAGGCTCCCAACCTTGATAAGGTGCCTTCAAATGTCCAAAGGGTTTTCAGCAAACTGTGAGGCGTTCTGACTGCGTCCTGATGGTCACAGTCTTGACCCTGTGGTCTTTGACATCTTTTTACTATTCTGCCTAAAACACAACAAAACTTGGCTGTTGGCTGTGGATCATTGAGAACATGCCACACAACAATAAAGAGAATCAAGCAGGAAGTAACTTTCGGTGGGGTGTCCCCAATCAGCCCAGAAAAGGCTCTGCAGGTAATCCACTGAACTCCAAACAAGGAAGATCCTCCCCACTGAGATCAGTGTGCATTCAAATAATTCAGGACACCTCCCAGGCGTTCCGACCGGAAGGTTAGACCAGTCTACCCAGCCAGCCAACGGCCAACGGGAGTTCTTTCAAACACCCAACCCTCCCCCCCGTAGCGGTCGCCGTAGCTCCGCGCCCCGAACCGACCTCGCCCGGTCGCTCCGCGGAACCGACCTCGCCCGGTCGCTCCGCGGCCGTTCGTCCCTCGAGTGGCTGGGAGGGCTCAAAGTCCACGTCGCGGTCCCACGGGTCCACGCCGGACGGCTGGCCTCGGTATCCGGCTCTCATGGAAGTGCGGTGGGGCCAGGGGGGTGGGGGGGGACAAATGTGTCATGTTCAGTGGCGAAAGAGAATGATTTATGGAGGTTGAGGGTGGTTGAAGAGTGAATTTACTTTGAGGCACCAAAATGTCGGATCGGAGAAGCACAGCTCGAGCGATCGTTTTTTCACCTTTGATCAGGTGGGTGAGGGGGCCTTATAAACTGGAAGTTTGGTGCTTGTCCTTTGCTTGGGGGTCGGAAAAGCAAACACTCCAAAGTTCTTCAACGAACATTTGGCCATCCATGTCCTTTGCTAAGGGCTTACATTTTATAAGGTCTTATATAAGGTCTTATATATTAGTAAGAAATTTACATTTAATACGTTTAATATGTCTATAGGACATATTAGACTCGGACTATATCTTGGGATTCTCTCCAAACCTGGCTTGAACACATGCTTTTCCTACCTCACAACGGACCGTCGACGGCCCGTCCTCCTTTCCATCCGAAAACCTGTCAAGGCCTCCCGACAAATCGGCACCGGAGCCGAAATGTCCTGGGGTGCCGCGGGAATCGGCAGGCGTGGGCAGCTCGGTCCGTGGCGCGGCGGGGGGAACCCGCGGCGTGGGAGCTCGGTGAAACACCCGAAAGCCTACACAGCGCGACCCTGGGACCCTCATGGAGGGCTCGGACCCATTCCTTCCAACTGATCAGGGGTCTGGGGTCGAAGCAATCCCAATTGGTTTGAGGGACCGGGAAAGGGCTGTGAACAGAGCGTTTGGGTACAGACCTTAAACCCTATAGCCTATAGACCTCAGTGAAGCGAGGCGTCTCAGTGGTTCGATGATGTTAGACGATGTCTGCAGGGATGATGTTGTCTCCAGGGCAGAAGGGGTTGGACGTGTTTTCTGTCCAATTCCCCTGAATCCTGCCACTCATGTTGTTGCTGTTGTTGTTTTGTTTTTGTAACCTGTCCACTCAAAAGCCAAAAGCTCTGGGCAACTTTTTCTGCCGGCTCTAGACCTGCAGGTTAGAAGATTTTTGGGAGAGGTCAATATGGTCAATTGTGGTAAGTGGCATTGGAAGGTATGATGAAAGGGAATACGAACAATGTACCTAAGCCATGTATAAATTAGCACATTTGCCGCATGAACAGCGCGGTCCTGACTAAGACTCCTAGCAAGGTTCATCGATATGTTTGGGCTTGAACTACCCGCGAACAAGATCGGAACCACCAAAGCACACCGCACAGCGCGGCGCGCACCATCCAAATTCCAGCGACAAACAACATGGTCACAGCAAACATGCCGGCGCGTGAAAAGGTTCACCCACAAAATGTCTGCTGGTTTCCCTCGCCATGTTTTGTCTTCACTCAGACTCGGCCCTGTCAAAACAAACAATTCAGCGGGTATAACTTCAGTAGACCGGGGTATGCTTAACACCTCCCCCGCGTTTGGAGCCACGACCCTTGGCATACCATCATCATGAAGGTATAACATGGGTGGTGAACTTGCCAACCACAGACCGTCGTGTTAGTCCGTGCCTTGGGCACGAAACTCAACCAATCCAGGATGGCCGCCATGCCCTGCGAGGATGGCGCGGGACGGGTTCGAAACGATGTCCGGTGAAGACCGGTGGACTGTGCTGAAGGCGGTACCGTAGGTGGACTCTAGCTCCACCTTTGCATCCCAGGTTAAGAAACCCGAACTGGTTTTGAAGATGCAAACTCTCACCAACACAAAGGATGGTTCCAAGCTTATGAGTTGCAGGATTTGCTTTCGGAGTTGGAAGCCAAGATCGTTCAGAGAGTTTTATGGCTGACATTTGCACTCGGTCTACTGGTCTCCTTAGGTTGATCAAGATCTGACTCTCAGGACGTCTTTGGATGGGTAGCTGGTGTGCGCAGCCAATGTTTATCTTACAGTAGATTTCTTGGTTGGCTGGAACCCTTCTTGTGGAGGAGTTTCTATGTTTACAGAGTTTGAGAAGAGAGCATGTGCATGCTCTCGCATGCGTGTCCTTTACCTGTTGACAAGCAATATGTTGAGGTGCTGATTCAATCTGTTGAAGCACGAGTATCATCAAACATGGTCTTATTGCTTTAAACTTAACCATATTTGACCTATAAACTGGGAATCAGCAAGGCAACAAGGCACCTAAAATCGTCTCCAAAAGAATATCAAAATAGGACGTATCAAGTCCGGACATGAAAGGGATCCCAAAGGGTTCCCCCTTCGTTCCAGAAGCATGAACGCACCTTGGTGAGTTCCCCAAAATTCAGAGGTAGTCGGTCCTATACCCCAGACATCAAGTTCAACCCCCTGCAAGGTGCAAAGCAAATTCACCGAATGATCAGGGGTCTCTCTGTTTCAATACACATCGACATCGCCTTGCCGGCTGTGGATGCTGTGGGATGCTGTAGAACTTCTCTTTCTTTGCGGCGGATGATTGACTTTTCACCCCCATCAGCACCACCGGCAAGAGCCACCGGCACCACGCCCATGACCGCCCAGAATCTTAAGAAGGCTTCGCTCAGCCCCCTCCGTGTTGCTGCTGCTGCTGCCATTTCGCTGGAAATACAGTATGATTGTTCATGTTTCTTCAGTGTTGATATTTAAATTCATAAGCATACTTCAAGATGTTTTTCAGACGCTTCCTGCCTGCTTGAAAACCACTCGCCGAAGACCAATTCTTACACATCGGAGTTTGTTTAACAGAAATGACCACATAATTGGACAAATCAACACTTGACCGGTGTCTACACACCAGAGCTTTAATATCCTAGCCTTACATTACCTGGAAGGAGGCTTTTACAGAGGCAACCTTTCACCGTCCCACCACCTTCTTCGTCCTCTCGTGGGCCCGGCTTCCGAAGAGGCGGCCAACACCGACCCTTCCAATGAGCGAAGTCGTTACTGGACTGCAGCGAAAGGCCAGGTCTGCGCGAAAGTGACTACTTGGTGAATTGGCTGCGAACGCCAGGTCTGTCATTTGTGCAGATGCTCCTGGGAGCTGGCCAAAGAATTGAATCTGAGGATTGCTGAAAAAGGTTGCCTGATCTGACAAAGGTGAAGGCACGTCAAGGCATCCTGAATTGCCTCGTGGTGTCATGCACAATCTGTGGGTGCTGTTCGTTCTGCAGGGTCTTGGGGCGACCACGAGCACCTGCTGATTTCAAACCGGGTCGTGGCATGTGTCGAACCCACACCGACCACTTTCTCAGCAGAAGTGCCCACACCGAAGCCGTGTGGAGGATCCCACTTCACATGTCTTTTTCTCCCTCAGAGGCACAATGCCTTTTTCTATACAGCATGATCAACTAGCAACACTCATATCGCAGCAAGACAAAGATTAACATCACAAGAACATCCCACGAACAGGATCAACCCTGGACGCAAAAAGGCAAGAACTTGCTTGGTAATGGTAACATCCAAAATCAGAAAGTATAAGCTGCCATATGAATCTACCACAATCATAACTGATTCCCTAGAAACGCTTGGTAGCAGCTTAAATCAGAAAGTGAGCTGCGACGTGCACGTACTATAGTCAGATTACCTCCAGAGTTCTTTCACTAAAGCAGCTAACTTAACATAGCCAAACTCCAATTTAAAAACAACCCATTGCTATCACCAGTGCACCCACCCTGACGTCAAGCCCTTGAGCATTCAAGTCCAGATGACAACTCTTGTAAGACCTCGGCAAAGGAAAGGAACGAATCTAGATTTTAGCCAAACGAAGGTGGAAGGCAGCAGTGAATCCAAATGGCTGGAATCTGGAGTGAAGCCAATTTGAACTCCAGATTCCAGCCAATTTCCATGCACCAAGGCCAATTCCGCGCCTCTTGATCATCCCTCACCACCTGGGTCGCGGTGGCGAGTCGGCGACTTCGACTCGAACCATCGCGGCCCATGGGACCGAGCGAAGTCGGCGAAGCCCGTGGGGTGGCCTTCACGTCGACTCGACTGCATACGACTTGTAGCCACCGAAGCGGCTCGGGTGTGCTGGATCGATGACTGGCTGGACTCTCGTCGGTTTGCAGGCGCGACGAAGATCGTTCCCTCCGGTGGGCGCCTGTTCAAGCGTCCCGGGTTGGGAGTACGGGTTGGTCGACCTTTGTTGGTCGACCTTTCTCTACAGCACCAAAGCAGGCCCTGTAGAGAACTGAAGCCAAGGGCTAGGGCTCAAAAAGGGGTCGACTGGTCTGGGGATTCTTCTGGATGCTTCAATGACGCACACAATGCAAGGCTATACCAAATAGGAAGAATCATACAGCGCAAAACCATTTGGATTGGAATCGAACGATTCGGAGAGAGGGCTGCCACAACTTCGGCATCTTTCTCTGAATGAATTGGGCACTTTCACATCTCGCTATCCCTGAAAACAACTAACACACATTGAAACAACTTTGGCAGGTGCATACATGTAGCCTGCAAAAGGATGTCAATCACAACAAACCATCACTGTCATTCATTCACTAGTCATGCCAACATGCATTTCTATGGACTTTCACACTCCGGAGGACGTCACCATAAAAGGACCGAGCTCCCGGTTTCGCACCGTTCGTTCGACCCGAGGTCACCCGGCTTCACCCAACGGAGCTTCCTCTGGACTTCGAAGAACTGAGTCATGGGGTCTGTTGGCTGAAGTAGGGAGACCTCCCAGTGAACCACCCCCCTGAAAAAAGGAACATAGACCCTAAAGTGACCAGAACATGCCAAAACTAATCCCTTGGTTGGACAGCCCCAAACTCAACCATATGTTCATTGGTCGAGGGGTCCACTAAGAAAGGCATGCAAAGCCAAATTGCCGGGGGTGGATCCATAAGTGCCTCTAGATTCTACCCCTCTGCGGACTAAACCACTGGGTTGTCGAGGATCATGTTCTTCAGAGGGTCAATTGTCAGGGTCCATGTTAGTCCGCAAGGGGGTAGATTGCAATTCATGGTCAGAGTCACCCTCCTTGGCAGCACACCGTGTAATTCTCAGTGAGCGACCAGGACACCATACAGTTAGACCTGATACTGATCCCTCCAAAGCACCTGATACCTCCAAAAGTACCTGATACCTGCGAAGTACAGTGGAACATAGGACATGACCCCATAAAAATACTGTACCCACTATCCAAGGGACTTTGAAACTCCAGGTAGAGAGGTACCATGAGGTACCAAAGGGCAAAAAATATCACCTTGCACCACTAAAGTTCATCTGCTTCTCGAACGTAGACTCTTGATCAACGCCCCCAAGCCAGCCAGCCTTTTTGAGAGGATTTTGGAATGCATGGTCTGCACCAAAAAGTTCTTCAAGACTCAACATCCAATGGTCTCACCCTCTTACCGGTTCGAACGAACGGGCCGGTCCCCGCACCTGATGCGTGACGCCGTTGGGGACCATGATCTGAGGCCCTCCGAGCTGATCCTCGAGGCGACGGAGCGACCCCGCGGTGGAGGGTATAGCAAACCCGAGGAAAGAAGGGCAGGTGTCGAATCCATCGATCAAGGGTATTCTATCCAACCAAAACACAAACTGCAATGTATACTTGTATTGAGAATCATCGAAACGACTGTAAGTCCACTTCGGATGATCCTTTGTCCCACTGAAACGTTTTTTTTTTTAAACGCAAGTTTCCCGATGTCAGATCCTTGTATTTTCGTCCGACCATTTCTTTTCATCGTCGACTGGACTCCCAGGACCTCGTCGCCCTAAGGGGAAAACACCGACCTCATGACTTGTCCGTGCGTCGACCACGGGGTGATGCGGGGTGATTGTCACCTCCGGGAGGGTCGTATGACGCGTCCCGTGGCGAAACAGGAGTGCCGAGAAAACCGTTTGCCAAATGGCCAGCAAAACACCGAAGCAGGAGTGAATTTACCATCTAAAGAACAAGTCATACACCATGTTTACAATTAGCACGGCAAAACACAGTAACAAACACACAACTTTGTCCCAAACAAAACAAACTGTCTGCTATGCATGCCTGTCATACCCTTGGTAGCTGCCACAACCCACCCGCGCCTGGGATTGGTAAACGTTCTTCCCCAAGAGTTTGTTCAATGCCGCGTAGCCCGTCAAGATCATGGGGCTGCTCACCTGTCTCACAACATGATACATGTTTACGCAAACAGGATGGGTTTGGCACAAGGATGGGGCAGGTAGCAGGAAAACATCCTTCCACAGGGTTTTTCCCGTATTCGCATGAAAAAAACACATTGACAGGTTGACCATTCCTGGTGTGCAACGGTATTATGGTAATACTAACAATTTGGCATATTTTTCTTGGTGCTATCTCCACATTAGTTGGTCCGCTGATAACAGACTCACTTTTGAGGGTGTCAAGGTCACCCATGTTGTACATTCATGAACCAACTTGTCAACACCTGGCGATTACGACCATCCCTGAGCAAAAAAAATACTATAATTAAGACCGTTTCAACCATGTTTCTTGCTGGGTTTTGATGCATGTTGGATTACGACGGCTTGTCAGTCCACTTACCAGGTGGCTGCCTTCAAGTCATCATCGAACGGGTCCTTCGCTTCGACCACGACAAACTCGCCGTGCAGTCGAAGCAAACACACTCTGACATTGGTTTGCTGTTAACTCAATTCCCACGTCGAGAAGGAAGGTGACGGAACGGGAAGGCGCATGAGTCAGCAAAACAGTATTGTTGAAAAAGTGTTTCACAAAAACGCTCAAGTGAAAGCGGCGATCAGCGGCTGCAGGACGCGGCAGGAAAGGGTTTAGGGAGATAGCATGCAGAAGCCACCATGAATCAAACCGATCGGATTGGACAGCTTTTGCAAAAGTTGGTCGCAGGTACACACCGAGACGTCTCTCAGTGCTTCCCATCTCGCTGCCTAGCTTTGTTAGACCAGGTTAGCAGCGAGATGCCTGGTCCCCCTGCGGTGGTATCAGAAACAAAAGCACAGGACCCTTTGGAACAGGGGTTGACACACACAGGTAGCCGAAATCGGCGCAGGTGGATGAAAGGACGGTGGCTGCTGTTTTTCTCAAAAATCGCCGGCGCGCAGTTTGATCATGCCCTTTTTGGACATACAGCCGGATAAGCTCTTCAGCCGCTGCCGCTGCGGTGTTGAGGTGATAGATTGAAGGTGAGGCGACTGTACACACTTGAAACTCAAAAGTCGGCTGCCTATCGAAAAGAAACTTGCACTGGAGTGACATGCTGAATGCTCAGTACGTTGCAAGTACAGTCATCGTATTAGCCCGGCGGCTCAAAAGGCCGTACATTCAAGGTGGAAGAAAGCAGTTGAGAGAATCCAAGGTTGGTGAAAACGGTCAAGGCAGTTACACGAGTTCCGGCATGAAAGCGGCGCCTCCTTGCGGAGGATCACACCCAGCACCCAAGTGGGACGGCTGAGCGGTTCACACTCGGGGGCGGGTCTGGTCTGACCTCGAGGCATTCGCAATGAAGAATGCGACGACTCCCATACCCTCTTCACCCACTATCTCCAAGATGTTCCTGTAAAGGACATTGTCCTCCACCTCCTCGCGTGTAGGGAGGGTCTGCCTCACCGTCTTTATCTCGATGGGGTGAGCCGGGAGCGTCCACGCCACGCGCGGGTATCACGAAGGCAGCTTCTGAGGAGGGCATGTCAAATTCGGTTTTGGCAGTGTTGGCCTCTGCTTCTTCACGGCCCACGGGGCGAACGAAGTGCTCCCTTTATGGGAAGCCTTCAAGTCGAAGGAAGTGAGCAACTTCATGATGGCTCGGCCTGCAGGGTTGTCCTTATGTACTACACCAATTTTCAGGTTAGTGGTGATGGCCAGCCAGGCAAGGAGAAAGGTGAGGGAACGCGTTTTGCCAGCGCCAAAGACTGCCACCGCAATGGTCGACCGGCCTGTGCGCAGTGCCATGGTCCATCCTATTGCAACTGCAAGAATATGCCCATTATCAAGTCGAGCAGCTGTGCAGAGATCCGTGACAAGGTCCGCGCACTTGTATTGTTTGAACAATCTGTTGACAGGTCTGCGGTGGCGAGCATCTGCGCGACTCAGCTGCA